GTGGTGGAGAGAGGGATGGGGTAGAAATGGCGTGAAATATGGAAATGGCGGGAAATATGATTGAAAATGGCGGGAAATAACCTATGATTGGAAATGGCGGGAAATCTGAAAGCTAGACACATCCACAAACCAATTTTCACGTTTATGTAATTTGACTACACACACACACACACACACACACACACACACACACACACACACACACACACACCACAGCCGGTCGGAGGTGAAATACTACCTAATGTTTCAACCCTCGCTGGAAATTTTGGCCTCGTAAAGTGTGTTGTATATTGTGGTGTTGAACAGGAGCGCTGCGAGCCTTCCTTCCACTGTTGGGATGGGATTGGTTGGCCGCTATGTGCAGTGCGGTGGAGCTGACGTCATGGTTATAGTCTTGGCCGCCAGTTGTGTGTGTGTATGTGTAGGGTGAAGGAGGCCCCGAGGTGATGGAACTCCTACTCAGAATATGAAGGTCCTCCTCGATTATGATGGTGGTCCTTGGGATAGAAAAAATATCAAGGCATTTATGTCTGAAATCCCCAAAAAATTATTCTTGGGAGGAGAAACTTGAGAGAATGAGAAACAGTCGTGAAGGGTTAAAATAAGGAGCTTAACTACGGGGGTTGATCTGACGAAGGAAGACCCAGAGAAGAAGGGAAATTATGGCGGGGGTGTCGGGGGGTCGGTGGCCGTGACAGTGGGGGGAGGGGAGGGGAGGGGGGGAGGAAAGCAGTGCATGTTTGAGGGCGATTGGTCTCCTCACTAGGATCGATGTGTTGCTCACAAGCTTGATATTCTCCCCTCCCTCTCCCCCTCTCCCTTCCCCTACCCCCCTAACCGCCACCCCAACCCTGGAACCCCCCCTACCCCCCGAGCACCACCACCCCTGCCTCCGCCACCTTACCTGCTGGTGGTGTAAGATCGACAGGTGTGTTCACTTTGGTGGTGGTGAGGAGTTGGTTAATGACTCCCGCTTACACCTGAACCTACACAGTATTACCTGACGACACAAATACACACAACGGTGAGGTGGACAGATCAAGACTCACACTCAAACAAGACATTTCCGGTCGTGAAGATCAATGTGGTGTCGGCTGTCCTCTTGATTCACCTTAGTCATAGTGAATAAGTTCCTAATGGCTGGGTGTATTTACCCTGTTATAACTTATATTGTTGTTGTACAGTTCAGAGGGGGGGAGGGGGGGTTATGTCAGTCCTCCATTCATGAATCCTGATACTCGAGAACCTGTGAATCCAAGGCACATTATTGGGGTCCATAGATGATTTACTGTCTCATGTCTCAGATTCACGGGTTCGTCAGTCAGGATTCATGAATGAGATGGAGAACTTCCCGACACTTTTTAGACTTTTTAACCATGATTAGTTTAGTTTAGTTTAGTTTAGTAGTTTATTGACAAAAGTATAAATACACGGTAAATATAATACAGTACATTGCTGTGGGGGTTTCATCCGTAACTAAGGTGGTTAATATACCTATGGCAACACTAGATTGTTTATAAATAACTTACCAAACGTTTTTCCAGCTCAGTGGTGAACGTTTCTGGTGGATAAGTTTCATCATGTAATTGTCGGTATATTTTTAAGGCGTGTCATGACTGCAGTGCGGGTGGTGGGGGTGACGTATAGGCTAGCTGGCTGGCTGGCTCCTGTTTTGTGTGTCTGTGTGTGTGTGTATATGTCTGTGTATGTATGTGTGTATATTTTAACAATTCTAAATACATATCCGATTGTATGTTTATCTTTAATGTTTCACCTCTTAGGGACACTTGTTATTAAGATACGGTAATATGAGGGGCACTACAGGCGACCGTAAAAGTCCTGACCGCAAGCTAACCGTATCGGGGAACAGTCGAGGGAGAGACGGTCACCACATACCACGGGATAAACACACAATGATTTATTCCGACGTGTGTGTGTGTGTGTGTGTGTGTGTACTAGGGTCATGCAGAGGAACCAGGGGCACTTTGACCCATCCTCCAGTCCCCATTGGATGGTTTAACCCCTTGATGCTGGTTTAACTCTTTGGGGATGATGGTTTAACCCCTCGAGGATGGTGGTTTAACTCTTGGAGGACGATGGCTGGAGAAGGAAGTGTCGAGTGTCAGGTGTTGCTGGACACACACACACACACACACACACACACACACACACACACACACACACACACACACACACACACACCTACCTAACACTAGTCCAGGAAAAAATGCTTCCCAAATCGAGTACTGTTGTCAACCTTTTGTTAATAAGTTTTCCGTTCTCATAATACACCGTAGCTAATGTGTTTGGTGGTGTTTGTTGTCATGGTAACCTCGTTTGTAAACAGAGGGGGAGTGGAGGGGAGGTTTGTTGCATGGTGAGGGGGAGGGAGGTTGAGGTGTGCAATGTGTAGCAACTTGGCTTATTGCTCACCTGTGGGGGGATTTGGTGATATGCGGTGGGGGGGTTGGTGTGTGGGGGGGGGGTGTAGGGGGTGGGGTGGGTGGATATGCGTGTGTGGGGGGGGTTGTTGTTGGGTGTGTGTGGGGTAAGATATGTGTATGTGTGGGGCAGTGTGTGGGGGTGTAGGGGGTGTGTGGGGGTGGTGGATATGTGTGGGGGGTTGCTGGGTGTGTGTGGGAGGATATGTGTATGTGTGGGGATTGTTGTTGGGGTGTGTGGGGTGGGGTGGATATGTGTATGTGTGGGGATTGTTGTTGGGTGTGTGTGTGGGGGTGGGTGGATATGTGTATGGGGGGGTGGGTGGATATGTGTATGTGTGGGGGTTTTGGGTGTGTGGGGGTGGGGTGGGTGGATATGTGTATGTGTGGGGTTAAGGTTGGGGTGTGTGGGGGGGGTGGGTGGATATGTGTATGTGTGGGGGTTGTTGGGTGTGTGTGTATGTATATTGTGGTCGTTTGTATGTCTTATACAACAATATTTCAACACCGACATTTACTTTCCACTGTGAGCGGAAGTTATATCAACATTATGTAAATATTATACAAGATCTAGAAATGATTATGATAAGTGATTTTAAATATGCCCCCTCCCCTCCTCTGTAGCTCTCCTCCTTCAGGACTCTCCTCCCTCTGTGCTAGTCCCCCCATCGGTGCCCCTCCCTCTTCTGTGCCCCTCCCTCCTCTTGTACCCCTCCTCCTCTGTGCTGTAGTCCCCTCCTCGGTGCCCCCCTCCTCCCCTCTGTGCCCCTTCCCTCCTCTCTGTGCTAGTCCCTCCTCGGTGCCCCTCCTCTGTGCCCTCCTCTGTACCCCTCCTCCTCTGTGCCCTCCTCGGTGCCCTCCCTCCTGTGCTCCCCCTCCTCGGTGCCCCTCCTCCTCTGTGCCCTCCTCTGCACCTCCGGTGTACCCCCTCCGCTGTACCCTCCACACCCTCCGCTGTACCTCCTCCTCTGTGCCCTCCACAGGCCCCTCCGTGTAATTCTCCACACCCCCTCCATTGCACTCCTCCACAGCCCCTCCACAGCACTCTCCACAGCCCTCCGCTGTAATTCTCCTCTGTGCCCCCTCCGGCGTACTTCTCCTCTGTGCCCCTCCATGTACCCCCTTCGGTGTACCCTCCGCCAGCTCCTCCGGTGTACCCCCTCCGCTGTACCCTCCGCTGTACCCTCCGCTGTGCCCTCCGCTGTACCCTCCGCTGTGCCCCCTCCGCTGTACCCTCCTCTGTGCCCCCTCCGGCGTACCCCCTCCTCTGTGCTCCCCCTCCGGCGTACCCCTTCGGTGTACCCTCCGCTGTACCCTCCGCTGTACCCCCCTCCACTGTGCCACCCAAGCTGTTACTAGAGGTAACAGCTGTTGAGTCGATGCAGCAGTCGTCACTCACCCCAGGCATGTGTAGTATGTCCCTTGTTGGTGATGTCAATGGGCACCTTACTGTACAGTTTGGGGCAGTGAAGGTAGTCGAGTAGAGTGCCGGTCTTGAGTGTTTCCTGTGTGCTGTTTCCGTCTGGTTTATGTGAGCTATTTTTACCGTATAATGACAGGTGTGACAGACAGGTGGTTTATTGTATACCTGCACTGTACAGATCTCTCTCTCTCTCTCTCTCTCTCTCTCTCTCTCTCTCTCTCTCTCTCTCTCTCTCTCTCTCTCTCTCTCTCTCTCTCTCTCTCTCCTGATACTTGGTGAAGAGTTTCGTGTGGTCTTGAGTTACCGGAGATTGAGAAGAGGAGGAGAGGACGAGGAGGAAAGGAGAGGGAGGGAGGAGAGGAGGGTGAGGGGGGCCGCGATGATGATGGGTGATAGTGTTGCTGAGGTTCTGTCTGTCTTTGTGTCTGTCTGTCTGTCTGTTTTGAAGCTCTCGGGATGCTTGGTAGAACAACAACATCTAGAAGCTGTATAACTCTTCCCTCCCTCCTTTCCTTCCTTCCCCTCCTTCCTTCCTTCCCCTCCTCCCTACCTTCCCCTCCTTCCTACCTTCCCCTCCTTACCTGCTGTAATGGAGTCCACCTGTAATTATGTTTTGCTCTTGCTGTAATAGTTGTTTGTTTTTGTCCCCTTAGTTTATGTCTTGCCAACGTGTGTGTGTGTGTGGGGGGGAAACGCGACACCTACTGAGGGAGAGCTGAAGGAGGAGCCGACACCTACTGAGAGAGGACGCGCACTGCTGAGGGAGGGAAGGGAGGAACATTGATCCTGAGTAGTGGTGAGCGTTGGTGACCTTGGTCTTGGCTAGGACACGGAGGAAGGCGCTGCAGTGTCTGTCCCGATGAATGACTACTGACGGTGGGGGGGGGGTGTGAGTAATGTTGGATGAAGGAGGGGAGGTGTTGGGGGGTCAGGTAGGCCTAGGTAACGTCCGGGGGGAGAGGGGGTGAAGAGAGGGGTTTTTTTTCAGCCTACTAATAATGGCCTATCAGTTCTTCACCAAGAGGCTTCTGATCCAAGTCCTTCGTTATTAATTAAAATGTTTATTACCATTATGTTCTATTTATCTTTGTTTTTTTATTTACTTTACTAATGTTGTTGTTTTGTTCTTTACACAGACTGATGGGAGCGCCAGCTTCCTGCGGGCGGCGCGGGCGGGAAACTTGGAGAAGGTGTTGGAATTCTTGAAGACCAACACTGACATCAACACTTGTAACCCGGTGAGTCCCTGTGTCTGCCTCACCTGTCCTTAATGGTTACTTCTGTTGGCAGGTGGTTTCTCTCTCTCTCTCTCTCTCTCTCTCTCTCTCTCTCTCTCTAGATCCACCTGTCATAGACTATAAACGTTTCGAATCTACTATAATTATAAATACTTGGAAAAATAATAGGATCTGTGTAATTCAATTCCTTATTCTAAAAGTCGTAAGGGAAGGATTTTGAAACTACGAAAATTTAAGAGAAATAAAAGAAGAAATTGTCTCATAATTTTGGCGTGTCAATAGGAGAGAGAGAGAGAGAGAGAGAGAGAGAGAGAGAGAGAGAGAGAGAGAGAGAGAGACTATGCAAAATACACAAATATATTCATTATATATTGACTTGTAGTGGCAGTTTGTGTGATGAACTTTGGACAGATAGTTATTGGGATGGAGAAGGTGTGGCGGAGGTGTGTGGTAGAAGTGTGTGGTGAGGGTAGGGGTGGAGGGTGTGGTGGGGGTGATAAGGCTAGACTGAACAGGAAATTAAGGAAGACATACAAAGTGGTCAGCTAAAGAGGGTGTGTGGAGGAAGGCAGCTCGTGTGTGTGTGTGTGTGTGTGTGTGTGTGATATAGGACACTGTAGCTATAACACACACACACACACACACACACTCTCTCTCTCTCTCTCTCCAGGTATTATGTTTCCAATGGTTTATTTTAATTAACTAACTACTCACTTCACACCTGTCAACACCTGGAGGAAAGCTTTTGATAATAATGAACTGAGCTGACGTGAGTCGAGTTTAGTAAATGTAATATGGCTTCCAACCCATCACACAACCCCACCCCACCACCCCACCTCACCCCATCCCACAACCCCACCCCACCCAACACCCCACCTCACCCCATCCCACAACCCCACCCCACCCAACACCCCACCCTCACCCCATCCCACAACCCCACCCCACCCCACAACCCCACCCCACCCATCACCCCACTCCCACCCAACACCCCACCCCACACCCCCACCACCCAACACCCCACCCCACCCAACACCCCACCCAACACCCCACCCACCCCACCCATCACCCCACCTCACCCATCACCCCACCTCCCCTACCCATCACCCCACCTCACCCTACTCCCTCCCTCACCCTTTCACCCCACCCACCCCACCCAACAACCCCACCCCACCCCACACCCCACTCCCACCCTACCCCACCCCACCCACCTCCTACCCCACCCTACCCCACCCCACCTCCCCACCCCACCCCACCCTACCCACCCCACCCCACCCCACCCCACCCCACCCCTACCCCACCCCACCCTACCCCTACTCCCACCCCCACCCAACCCCCCACCTAACCATCCCTCACCCCACCCTACCCCACCCTGGCTCCCCACCCCCACCGTGTATAATAAGAACATAAGAACATAAGGAGTCTGCAATAGACCGGTTGGCCTGTGTCTGGCAGCTCCTGTCGAGAGTTACTACCACTCTATCATCCATGAATCTATCTAGCCTCCTTTTGAAACTTTCCAGAGTTCCCGCACTTACTACAAAGTTGCTAAGCTTGTCCACTCGTCCACCACCCTATTTGTGAACCAGTTTCTTCCTACCTCCCTCCTAAACCTAAACTTATCCAACTTGAATCCGTTGCTACGAGTCCTATCCTGCTCGGATATTATAAGAACTTTATCTATATCCCCTTTATTGATTCCTTTCACCCACTTAAATACTTCTATCATATCTCCCCGCACTCTTCGTCTTTCTAGGGAATGCAAGTTAAGTTTCTTTAGCCTATCCTGATATGGAAGGTTTCTAAGTCCCGGAATCATTTTTGTCATTCTTCGCTGCACCGACTCTAGAGAATTTATATCCATTCTATAATAGGGCACCAGAACTGAACCGCATAATCGAGGTGCGGCCTGACTAGCGCAAGATATAGTTGCAATAAGACCTCTGCACTCTTGTTACTTACACTTCTAGATATAAAACCCAATACTCTGTTTGCCTTATTTCGAACATTAACGCACTGTTTTCTAGGCCGTAGGTCCGGGCTTACAAGTACCCCTAGGTCTCTTTCACAAGTCGACTTCTCTAGGTTGATGTTTTAAGGCTGTATACATTATAAGTATTTGTTCTTCCAATATTAATACGCTGCACTTGCTGGTGTTGAATTTCATTTGCCATTTTTCAGACCACCCCTGCAGTTTATTTAGATCCTCCTGTAATGCATTTGCATCCTGCCCTGAATTAATCTGCCGCCCTATTTTGGTGTCATCCGCAAACTTGCTTATGTCACTGCTGATCCCAGTATCTAGATCGTTTATGTAGATTATGAACAAGAGTGGGCCTAGTACTGACCCCTGGGGAACCCCACTGGTTACACGGCCCCACTCAGATTTAACACCATCTACGCTGACCCTCTGCGTTCTATCGGTGAGCCATGATTTTATCCAATTTAAAACTTTCCCCTCGATACCATGAGCCTTAATTTTTCTCAGAAGCCTCTGATGCGGTACTCTGTCAAATGCTTTGCTAAAGTCTAAGTAAATAACATCGTAATTTTCGTCACTATCTACTACCTCGAAGACTTTCCTAAAAAACGTTAGCAGATTTGTTAGACAAGATGGAATTAAAATGCAGATAAATGTAGGAAACAATTTAAATGTGTCAGTTTCTCTCGATAAAAAAATGACTAGAAAATTAATGAACATGATAGAGAATAACAAAAATGGTGGAACAGAATTAAAAAAAAGATCTTTCCACACACACACCACCACCTCGAGTGTACCCGGTTACATTAGGTTAGTGTCAGGTTAGGTTAGAGTTAGGTCAGGTCAGGTCAGGTCAGGTCAGGTCAGGTGGGTTGCGTCACCAGAAGGTAATATCACCATGTAATTATGGCAGCGACTGTAACATGTCGAGTAACAGGTAAAGTTGATATAAGATTCTTGTCGGCCAGGTAACGATTGATGCCGGCGGGTGATAAAGGTGAGAGGGAGAAGGAGAGGGGGGGAGGGAGGGGGAGGTTAGAGGGAAGAGGAGGGGTGGGGGGAGAGGCGGCAGGTGTCCCACTTACCTGTGTTGCTTAAAGCTGGTGGTGTGGGGGAGAGGACACGTTAATGTGTCATGGGGCGGTAGTTACCCTCCCCTCCCCTTTCCACTTCCCCTCCTCCTCCCCCTCTTCCTCCTCCCCCTTCCCCTCCAGTTCTTCCATCTCCTTCGTTTCCTTTCCTTCCTCCTCCTCCCCCCCCCCAAATTTACGCCTTGCTTACTTGCCTGAGAGAGAGAGAGAGCAGGTTAGGTCAGGTCAGATCAGGTTAGGTTACATTAGCTCAGGTCAGGCTATGTTAGATTAGGTCAGGTTAGGTTAGATTAGGTCAGGTTAGGTTAGGTTAGGTTAGGGTGAGGAATGGAGTAATAACTCTAACTTCTCTCCCCTGGCTGACTGTATATTAACTTTTTGTCACATGTTGATTGTAATGATCTCGGGAGTGGAGGGTGGTTACTGGGGAGAGGGGAGAGAAGGGAGGGGGTGAATAAGGGGGGAGTTTGGGGGAGGGACTGGTGATGGAGGAGAAATGTGAGGGGATAGGATAGGAAGGGAGATGAGGAGTAGGATGAATAGGGGAGAGAAGTAGGGAGTGGTAGAGGGGAAAGGGAGAAGAGAGGAGAAGGAAGGGAGATAGTAGAGGGGGAAAGGAGAGAGAGGTAGAGGGGAGAGGAAGAGAGCGAGAGAGATAGGGGAAGGCAGAGTGTGATTGATTGTACTATTTTGGGCTGTGTAATGCGGAGACAGGTGAGGTGGTGGTGTATACGCTCTGTCGTCATCATTCAGAGGTCGTGATGCTCAAAGATTCCTGACCTGACTTGACCTAACCTAGCCTGGCATGACCTCACCTAACCTGGCATGACCTCACCTAACCTGGCGTTACCTCACCTAACCTGGCGGGACCTGACTTGACCTAACCTGACTTGACTTGACCTAACCTAGCCTGGCGTGACCTAACCTAACCTGACGTGACCTAACCTAGCCTGGCGTGACCTAACCTAACCTGGCGTGACCTAACCTAACTTGATTAATTGATTGATTTCCCCGTAAGTCAGGGAAGGTGTTTAAAAAATACACATACCTAACCTAACCTGACCTGACCTAACCTGACCTGACCTGACCTGACCTGACCTGACCTGTTCTAACCTAACCTGACCATGTATACAATGAATATCTGTATACATTTGTACTTAAATGTATGAAAATATATGAAATGCGAACCAAGACCCAGGAATATTATGAGCCAGACTACAGTGAACACTCCTCCATGTCCTCCTCCGGTGGTGTTACTGACTCGTGTTGTTACGGTGGTGTTACTGACTCGTGTTTTGTTACGCTGGTGTTACTGACGCGTGTCTTGTTACGGTGGTGTTACTGACTCGTGTTGTTCCGGTGGTGTTACTGACTCGTGCTGTTATGGTGGTGTTACTGATTCGTGTTTTGTTACCGTGGTGTTACTGACTCGTGTTGTTCCGGTGGTGTTACTGACTCGTGCTGTTATGGTGGTGTTACTGATTCGTGTTTTGTTACGCTGGTGTTACTGACGCGTGTCTTGTTACGGTGGTGTTACTGACTCGTGTTGTTCCGGTGGTGTTACTGACTCGTGTTGTTCCGGTAGCATTGACTCGTGCTGTTATGGTGGTGTTACTGACTCGTGTTATTACGGTGCTGTTACTGACTCGTGTTTTTGTTACGGTGGTGTTATTGACTCGTGTTTTGTTACGGTGGTGTTACTGATTCGTGTTTTGTTACGGTGGTGTTACGGTGGTGTTACTGACTCGTGCTGTTCCGGTGGTGTTACTGACTGTGTTATTACGGTGCTGTTACTGACTCGTGTTTTGTTACGGTGGTGTTATTGACTCGTGTTTTGTTACGGTGGTGTTACTGACTCGTGTTTTGTTACAGTAGACAAGAGAGACTTTACCTCGTGACGAGAATCAATAAAATCTCTCTCTCTAGGTTTA